GAATGAGTTGGGAAGAGGTAGATGATTACGAAAAAGCGAGAGTACGGCCGATAGGCCGTACTCGCGATGCGCGTGCGGCAGCACGCGGGGAAAAAATACATGTAAGAATATATGAGAACAAGACATGATATCGATAACCATGAGTATCTAAGGCCCGGTTAGCTCAATCGGTGGAGCGGGAGACGGCCACAAGGGGAGGGGAGGGAGTCGAGGGCGATGGGACATATATCGGCTATGAACCTCGAATGGGCCTTTCTAACCATGACGAGTATGTAGTCTTATCAATAAAAATATTAATGGAGTGGGTATTCTCAGTCGATAGAATGCACAAATGGGGGATATGCGCGAGACGAGACGATATAGGTGGCTCTATATGTGGCTCATGAATGCCGATTGGGGCCTTTTAATTGCAGTGGAAATGTCATATTACCTATACAGATGTCATTAGGATGTATTACCGGTGGATAGCATGCCACCCCGCGCCAAATACATGTAAGAATATATGAGAACAAGACATGATATCGATAACCATGAGTATCTAAGGCCCGGTTAGCTCAATCGGTAGAGCGTGAGACTCTTACCTCGTGAGGAAATAGTCATCTCAAGGTTGCGGGTTCGACCCCCGCATCGGGCTAGTCGAATTTTTTGCCCTCGGTGGTGGCGGCGGCGGCGGCGGCGGCGATATATGGATTGGTTTTTTCATTCCCCGTGTCTCGTTTCATTATCATATAAAAAGGCCATTTTTTCCTCTGAATGGCCATCGAGCGAGGCCGCGGTCAAGAGTGGCCGTCCCATCTTGTTTTTCGACTCCGACTGCCAATATGCATGACCTGCCGCCAAATCCCAACAGTTGGGCTATCCGAGACTCGTGAATCAACTCGCAAATTTGACGCGCATCAAATGGATCGTCATCTGTGAAAGCCCGACATCAACCAAGCCCCGGGGAGAGCGAATATCTGCAGCGCATCGCCTAAGGTAACGATTCAGCCTTTTTACACGCGCAATTTCAATAGTAGTTGCTGATAAGTCGTTTTATTTCGATTCAGATCCGGCCACAGGACGAGTGCGACGACCGAAAAAGAGGCGCGACGAGGGCAACCATTATTGACAATCCAGCCGTTCTCGTCGTTCTCAAGAGTCCTTCGGCTGCTCTATAAGCGAGCCTGATACTCGTCCTTGGAATCTCTACTGGTGACCTTGGTCTCGGAACATATGTTGGGTCAGCTAATGCATTGGGCAGTCGGAGGAGTATCATTACGATTTCCGGCTACGTATTTGTTTCAAAACTGTCTTTTACCTAGGATAAGTTTATCAAATCAACGGGTGGAAAAACAAGCCTTTTTGGTTGATGATCAAGTCCGGCTTGTAAGGAATTCAAAGGTACTGGAAGGAACAACGTGATGCGTTTCGTAACTAGTAAAACACCGTATAGATGATATAGAAGGAACCCAAGATACTCTTGTCACGATGGACGCAGGCAACTCCTGGCCCCCTTTTGCCCTCCTGAATTCCACCACGCTGTCGTGAGCACTTTCTTTCCTTTTTCCATTTTTCGTGACTCTAGTCTAAAACTCCGACTCCATAACCCCCCCCCTTCTCCGCGGACCGCAAATTTCAACGACAGCCTCATAAGAAATCCAAGAAAAGGACGACCGGGATACATTCTGTAACCAATACAACGTCATATGGATGATATAAAGGTAGCCTAGGATACTCTCGTCGCGATGAAACGCAGGCGACTCTCCCTCCCGGCTTTGCTGGAGCCCGACTATGGCTTTGTACGCATTTTCTTTCTCTTCCCTCTCGCCTGAAACCTTGCATCGATAGACCACAGGATGGACCATATACTCTCTCCCGCTCTCCGCCTCCTTTCTCGACAGCGTTGGACGCTTGTGGCATGTCTCAATTTGACCACTCTCTTCGACGCGCCTGGATCTGTCGTATCAATGCAGCCGGAAGAGCCCACACGATACTCAAACCATGAGTGATCCGTCGATTCCACTTGATGATTATAATTGCAAGGAGGACGACAATGATGACTCCAAGAGTGCCGCCGAGTGCCCCCATCTTTGATGATGTAGACATACGGCCTTGGGCGGTTTGATTCGTCGTGACATTCCCGGAACCAGAGGGGCTGGGACCTGACGCTCCTGACGAGGAAGTTGACGTGTCAGGGATGGTGGGTGCGCCATCAAAAGTCAACAAGATGCTATGCAGGTGGAAATGCAGTTTCAGAGCCGTTGTAACTGGTGACGGATAGTCAATACGGATCGATAGTTTCAGCTTGAGATCGTCGGGAATAACCATAGAGCCTTGGTGCACTGTTTCCCTGACTATGTATGTGCTATCAGAATATCCAATTGTCAAGCATTGCGTACTGACAGTTACCAAAATCAAGAACTCGGTTAAGGGGTTCCTCTTGATATTCGACAGCGCCAACGTAAGAAACAAGCTGAGCAGGAGGCAGAACAGTTGGTCCAGCATTTCTCCAAAATTGAGTCCATAAGGACCAATTGCTACAAATGAGTGGTTCTTATCCGTCAGCTAGTGAGAAAGAAAGGTGTGTGGCCCCGACGGTGCTTACAAGTTCATCGATTGACCGCTTTGGAAATCTTCGAGGAGAAGCTCAGTGGAGAGTTGCAGCGATACGTTATTCACATTTTGCTCTCCTGCTACTGCGGCTATGCAGATCCGGTATTGCCCGCAGCCATCCTGGTTGAACACATTGACGCCTTTAATTGAAGGAATACTCAGACGCTGAGCGGTGCGGACCATATATTTTCATACAATTGTCCATATTAGGTGCCTGGCAGGTCCAGACTCCTCCGATTGCATCTAGAGTGGTATTCGACGCAAGAAATTGTGAATATGTGAAAGGCATGAGGGTAGTCCAAGAAAGAGGCAAACAGTGTATCACGAATGAGACGAGTTAAATAGAGTCGCATACAGATTTTGTACAGCCTTCCTGTCAGCGATTGCGTATGCCCGTCGCTTAGCCCAGACGCCGAGGGGGGTGGCAGCCAACCCGCAAGTGGGACTGTCCCCGTTCCTCTGGAGTGAGCCACCAGCGCAAAAGCCTTTCAAACGAGGTTGTGGATGTAGAACCGAACAAAAACAGGGACCGTTCCCATGACCAGCACAGGAATCAACGAGTAGGCGAGCGCTCGGCTCTCAGTGCACCAAATATACAAGGCAATCGTGATGAGGAAGAAAAGGAGACCCAGAATGAAAGCCAAGTAAAAATGGATGAAAAGTGTGATTCTCGGAGAGTCAAATCCAAAACCAACGAGGATATGTGAGTCCCGCCAGCCATCCTTTTGAGCCTCCACATGCCCTCGTCGAATCCCTTCCCTAAACATCATAGTCGGGAGAGACTTTTTACCCTCCCGGATATCATTTCGTGCTCTATCCGTGAGAGTAGACTCCATCGATACCAGAAGAACGGCGCTTGCGCTCCCCATAGCGTTGATGATCAACCCGCTGTGGGCGAACCACCGCAGTGCCTCCCATACGCGACCATGGCTTCCAGCGCGTTCTGCGAGTATCTGAATAACGACGATATGTATGGTAGCTAAGAGTGCCATCTACATAAATGGAGGCACCTTGAGATAGTCCTACGAAAGGGAAGGTAGAATAAAGCTTACAACGATGGAGGTGGAACTGGCATATTTCTCCCAACCACGGACCACTTCAGCAACAGGTTGAGGTAAGGTATCTACTCATGTGCTTTAGCGCAGATCCAACGGGCATAGACCATGCTTGATTTACAATTGATGATGCTCTCCCTCTCAAAGTCGGCGTTGACGCTATCTTCTTGCATCATTTCGATGTCGTGATGACTTTCTGTGGACATATCTGGACAATTATTTGCGCTCAAATGCTCGTGGGCGTTCAAATGCAGCGGGGGCGACACTACGACGATGCTGGTCAAACTCCAAAGACCGGAGTGGGCCTACTCCAACCTTAGGGTATCGGCGACTCAGCGCCTGTTCTCGAGTTAAAATACAATTGTTGCCGATGCTGGTGAGAAACATATATTCCATTCAGCTATTTCAGAGACAATTAGACTCCAGGTCCGTTAAATTTATGGAGTAGCGTCAGCATCTTTACGTCTCGAAGCGACTACAAGGTCTGATACAATCGTGAGTCCATTAGCTGCTGCTTTCCCCTTTTTCTGCCGTCGTCTCCATCGGAACAACATTACCAATAGAAGTACGATGATAACTAGCGTAAGGATGACGCCTAGTGCAGCCATTTCTGAAGACTTGTATGTCCGACCTTGGGGGACCGAGGCGGCTGTGGGCGTGGCTCCTCCAGGCGTCGATCCTTGAGCTGGAGGAGACGAACTGACAGTAGATGGAGCTCCATCGAAAATCAAAGAAATGCTGTGCATATGAAACCACAGCTTTTGGGTTGTTGGAACCGGCAATGGATAGTCGATCGTAATGGAGACTCCAAGTTTCCTGTCCTCGGGGATAACCAGCGAGGCCTGATGAGACATTTTCCTGACTGAAATGACGTTATTGAAAGAAAAATATGTCAGCTGTCTACTAACAATTGCCAAACTCGATATTCCAGTTAAGAGCGGCCTCTGGAAACTGAAGTTCACCGATTTGGGAAGAAGGCTGGCAAGGAGGCAAAGAATTCGGTCCAGTATTTCTCCAAAACTGGGCATAATAAGACCATGTGCTACGGCGACGTCGTTCATGGTCAGTTCGGACAGGACCTAGCCGATTACCCACAAGTTCATAGACTCTCCTACAGGGAAACCTTCAAGGAGAATATCAGCTGAGACATGCATAGAAATACTGGGAGCGTCTTGATTTCCGACTAGTGCCCCAATGCACGCCTTGCCTTCGCCTCCGCAGCCTAACACGCTGACAGACACACCTTGAAGAACTGTAAGCACTAGAAATGCTGACGTGGTGTACTTACACATGTCCATGTTGGTCGCTTCACACGTCCAAATCCCTCCGTCACCAACAAGAGTCCCATTCGAGGCGAGGAGCTGTGAATAAGTTGCGACCATGCCAATAGGATGCGAGTGGCTCAGCTCTTCTCCCAACTCGATGCTTTATCTGGACGAGACTTGATACTATCCCCTCCAGTCTCCTTTCCAGCAATGATAAAGTCGAGTTAAGCTTATCCTAACTGTGCATAATGTGGCTGAGACCATGTGGTATTCCACAGAGGTGTAAGTGAACAAAATACCGATTATCTCGTTGGATGCTTGAGGGCTGTCACCGCCCAGACCGCGGTTCTCAATATCATAAGCTGTAGTATGCGATGCAAGACATCACGAGGTAATATAGATGCCAACATACCAAGATATTGGAGTAGTGCATGGGCTGACAGGGAACTCCCCGTTCCAAAGTCTGGCCACGTTTGCCCCTTCTCTCACAGTACATCGATTATGGCTTATCATCACAAGAATGGGGTAATTTTAGCTGTATATTGCGTGCCATAGCAAATGTAGAAACTGGTACTCTCGCTGGTACCTTCGCTACGATCAGGTTGCAAGTGATCTCTGATCCGATATACCGGTGAGACTGATCCCGTATGAGCTCAGATCTATTGATAGGTGGTGATCGAGGGCTAGAGTGGATGTGGGGCCGCTGTATGTACATTCGCGGA